AGAGAGAGAGAGAGAGAGAGAGAGAGAGAGAGAGAGAGAGAATGAATCACCCCCAGGGAAGAGAGCAGAGAGCTGCAGGGAGTCCCTCTATAAGGTGACACAGCAGGACACACACCCTCATACTGAACAAGGGGTGGCATACAGATCTTTATCATGTCTCATCCAATGGGCAGAAGAGCAAAACACAGAGTAGCTAAAAAGTCAGGAATTCTTGAACACAAGCAGGTAGGAGACAAACTCCAGGGCATTCAGACTCTGCACACACCTGGGTCCCCTCCGAGGGTCCCTGCTGTCAGGTGGGCAACTGATCAGCCCTCCCTGACCTGAATGCGCAGCCCACGGGGGCCCAGGTCTCCTTCCGCCACCCCCAGTCCTGGCAGCCTGGGGGTGAACAGGTGGCCTGACCCCAACTACATCTCGGGGAAGCTCCCCACCAACGCGCGGTCCACAGCCTCAGGGGAAAAACTCAGCTCGGAAGGTTTCACACTTGCCTCCTCTACCCACCCCATGCCCCTTCTCACCGAGCAGGGTAAGAAAAACAAGTCAACCCACACACACAAGTGACCACTGATCACAGCAGTATCTTGGGGCAGCACTCGAACCATAATAACCTAAACCACTTCCTGCTTCTTCAGGGAGTCACTTAGAGAAGAGTAAAAAGAGCGTGCGCCCAGGACAGGGGCGGGGGGCAGATGCATGGAAGTACCTACCCAGCTCCTCGTCTGCTCTGGCCCCAGACGTCCGCCCCAGAGGGCTCTGTGCTGCCAGGCACTGGCCCCTTTGCTGAAAGAACCCATCCTGGCTCTCAAGCTCTGCACTGGATTTGAGTTGGACAAGACACCTGAACTTGAGCACTGGCCTCCTCAGAGACTGGCTGTGTAATAACCCTGACCAGGTTCCTTCCCCCTCTGAGCCAGAGTTTTCTCCACTGCAAAGCAGAGATAATACAGACTGCTGCCTTGCCTGGCCCAGGGCAGGTGAGAGCGCACACGAGAGACCCGATGGGAAAGGGTTTGGTGAATGGTACCAGGGTGTGAGGGCACGAGGATTATAAACCCAAGCCAACAAATAATCCACCCGTCAGGGCTGGCATTAGGACAGGGCTGCTGTGCCACAAACTTTACCATGAACAGGGATCAAAGGGTCAGTCTGGAACTAGACAGTCTAATTTAACACAACCGAGCCTAGACCAGAGAAGGCAAAACCACACAGGACTGACAAGCAAGGCAAAGTAGACCAAACTTAACAAAGGGGGCTGTTTGCTAATGCCCAAATCTGGGCTTTTGCCCGCCCCCAGTCTGACCTTTAAAGGAACCCACTTCTTCCCTGCCCTAGCCCAGCTGCATAGGGCTGTCACAGAATCTTTGCCTTGGGCCTAGAGAGTCATGAATAAGCCACTTGACATACACATTTGCCTTCAGGTGGGAAGCAGCCCCATTTTATAGACAAGGCAACTGAGGCCTGGAGTGACTGAGGGACTTGCCCAAGGTCATCTGGCCAGTAACTGGTACAAAGCGGAATCAACCCAACCTATGTGGCATGCCCTTGTGCCCCATCTCCACATACCCTGGATAGTGTGTAGCAAGTGGGCTTGATTTTCCAAAACTGATTTTTTGAAGTATTTTTTTTAAAAAACAGTCCAAGTTATAACCCAGCTACTGCGCTCTGCGAAGGCAAACTCCTTAACTTCCCACCTGCTGCCGCTTACACCCTCTGGTCTAAACCCCGATATCACCCCTTAAACACCTGCTTCACTGACCAAACAGTAATTACTCGGCTTTGCTCCGGCTTCCGAGGTGAGACTTGGCAGCCATCCGTCCCCCGGCCGTGGCGAATCTGAGGCTGGGCTGCTTTCACAGGGCAAGGGACAATGCCAAGGGCACCCGCAGCCCTGGAGAACACGCCGACGACAGGCGGGCAGGCACCACAGGCCCCAGAAGGGCACCAGACCCCATTCTATTCAGGTTGGCTCAACCCACCCACCCTCCTGCAAGGAGGCCGAGCAGCCCAGCCAGAGGAGGAGACAGAAGTCGTCACCCTGGCGACAGCTTTAGCCTCTGGAGAACCCTGAGTGCGTTTAAGGGAAGATCTGTACCCTGAATTCCACCCCTTCCTCTGAACCCACGGACCAGGAGCTAGGAATATTTGATCCCTGGTAAAGAGCAAAGATGTCCTTGGATACCAAAATAATTATCATCGTGAAGAATAAATGAAGTCAGGGCTTCTCTGGTGGCACAGTGGTTAGGAATCCACCTGCCAGTGCAGGGGACACGGGTTCGTGCCCCGGTCCGGGAAGATCCCACATGCCGCGGAGTGGCTGGGCCCGTGAGCCATGGCCGCTGAGCCTGCACGTCTGGAGCCAGTGCTCCGCAACGGGAGAGGCCACATCAGTGAGAGGCCCGCGCACCGCGATGAAGAGTGGCCCCTGCTCGCCGCAACTGGAGAAAGCCCTCGCAAAGAAACGAAGACCCAACACAGCCAAAAATAAATATAAAATAAATAAATTAATTTAAAAAAAAGAATGAATGAAGTCAGGTCGAGTTCTTAATATAATGCATTCAAAAGTTACCACTGTTATTAATAGCAGCATCATTTCCTCGCTTGTCCCTCTCCCACAGCCTGCGTGACTCTGCCCTTCTTGGTTTACTAAGTACTGTATTCTCAGAGGGGAACCAAAATGTGGACACGAGTTGGGAGGACACCAAGAGGCATCTCTCGGCCGAGAAGGAACCACACCAGCCTGCCTCAACCCACACATCTCTCCAGCTCCCTTCCCCCATGAGCAGTCTGCAAACCTTGGAGGCAACCAGAGTCACTCCCCTTCAGTCAGTCACTCCAATAAAATTCTGTTGAGTACCTGCTGTCTGTCAGACCCTGGGACCAGCATCAGACACACGGAGGTGAGCAGGCCTAGGCCCTGCCCTTAATGGGGTCACCATTTAGCAGTGACATCTCCACTCTAACCTGATGCGGCAACTAAAAGCTTTTTTAAAACTCAGTGTTGAATCACCATCAGACTTTTCTCCGGAAGGAACACAGATTTCATTTCCAACAGACCAAGCCCTAACACCCAAATGCCCCAGCCTGGAGAGAATAAAGATGGCTTCCATCTGCAACTCTGAGCCTGATGGGAGCCCTTTTCCCTCCAAAGGGCACCTGCTCTAAGCAAGCGTCGTCTTCATGCTACTGACAGAGGGGGACAGCAAGGAAGCAAGTCTGCAAGTGGTTGGGAAAAGGCCATTCACAAAGAAGGAGGTCAAAGAAGGAAGGGCTCAAGCATATCCAAGGTCAGCACCATGGACCACCAGGCAAGGTTGGTCTCAACCTTCCAGATACCACCTGGACTCCAGCCAGCTAGACTCAGGCCAGCGCAGAGAGGGCCTAAAGGAATGCCCAGCCAACTCCAGCAGCAACACTGATACCTCAGGTTTCCTGGGAGAAGGAACTGGTTTTGAGCCCAGATTCTCTCCCTGGCCCTTAAAAAATAAGGTCAGGATTTGAAGGACAAAGGAGAAAAATCCCTTCAAACAGCAGAGCCATCTGTGCACTTCAAAGACAGCTAACTTCTGTGTAACATCACTCAGCAAATAGGCTGCCACTCAAAACCATTATCTCCTTCAATCCTCCCAACACCCTCTGAAGTGGGAATTATCAGCCCTGTTTTATAAATAAAGAAACTGAGGCTCAGTGAGGGGACATGAGTTGCTCAAACTCATACAACTCCAATTTGGAACCTCCCAGCTCCAAATTCCGTGCCTCCCTCCCAAGCTGGCCTGACCACAGTGCCTACAGCACCTTACATATATTGGTTGCTCAGTAACGTTGGTTGAATCTCAGCTGAATGCCTGAGTCCTGAACACCATCTGTTAGACTGCTCTGGGAAGATGCCCTCTCTTCCTCCTCAGTTCAGGGTCCAAGGAAGAAAGACACTGGTTCAGTGAGGAAGAAAAAGGTCCCAAGAGGAGACAGAGTCTGTGTCAAAATGGGGAGGGGGGGATCTTGACTCTGTTGGGAAGGTCTCCCAACTCAGAGGAGGAGGTGGGGCCCAGCCTCGCAGCTAACCTCGCCATCTCTCTGGGGCTCAGAGAGCACAGCAGCAGAGGAGAGACTCACCTTCGGGGATGGCATCCTCCTGGTACACAGGCCGCAGCAGCTGCGAGGGAAAGACAGAGAACTACCTCAGCCCCAGGAACGGGGCAGACCACCAGGCAGGCTGCTCAGCCCTGGCCTGGGGATAGGAGGGGAGCACCTCAGGGCACGAGGGCAAAACAGCAGTCCCGCTAACGAGCTGAGAGGGGGGCCTGGAGGGATCACAGAATCTAGAATCCTCTAGAATGTTCGAGTTGAACGAGGCTTTAGCTGTCATCAAGTCTAACCCCTTGAAGTGTGTTCTGTGAAACACTGGCACTTGGGACGCTAACAACTCCGCCACAAAGGGTACACCGTCAGGGGAGTTTGAGAAATGCTCGGTTAAACAAGGGCAAACCACCTTCTTCACTGCAGATGCCCTCAGAGCCTCAAATAGGCTAATATGCATTGGGAATCTCCCAGAAGAGGAAGAGAGTATAAGGTGTTTCTCAAACTCATTTGACATCAAGAAACTTTCTTCCCAGAGTATCTCCTGGGACCGATATTTTGGGGCACACACGCTGACATTCCATTACTCCATCTTACAGCTCCTATGACAGGCTCGCTGCCTACCACGCAGCCCATTCCGCTGAGGTTAAGTACAGACTGGCAGAAAGCTCTTCCTTCTTTTGAGGCGAAATCTTCTACCGTGTGACCTCCCATGGCCCTGGATCTGTGCCCTGAGGCCACAAAGACCCACCTGCTGTCTCTGCCGGGGACAGCCCTACAGGACAGCCCTATAGCGGCTGGAGCTAACACATAGCCCACTTCCCTGCTCCCCACTCCAAGCCCCTGGCAGGCTCCTCACAACACAATTTTGAGTCTTCGCATCTTCCTGGCCTCACTCAGGGACCCATGCCCTTCACCCCCCCTGAACCAGCTGTCCATACCTGGCTCCCAGGGTTCAGCGGGGCCAGGATGATGTAGTTGGGGTCGGCGGGGGCAGTGGCACGGGACAGTGCAGGCAGGGTGTGCTGGCCCCCACGCTTGGTCACCTCAGTGTAGCGCTCCCAGCCACCGAGCAGCAGCCCATCCGAGCTGTCACACACCAGGTGACAGCTGTGGCGCTGCTCTGGCCGTGCCTGGGCCCCGTGGGTGCAGTTCTTCTCCCGCTTGTTGGGGGGCGACTGGAGGTCATGGGTCGACTTGCAGGACGCCCGCCGCAGGACCCCGCCATCTGGCCCCGGCTTGACCTGGGGGACCATACGCCACACAAGCAGGATGATCTCGCTGGGGCAGCTCCTGGAAGTTGGGGGAGGCGGGGAGTCACAAAGGGAAGTTGAGTCTGGGGGAGACCAAAGTCAGCCATGGTAGGGGCCTGTGGGGGCACAGAGGAAGAGAGGGGAAGAGGGCAGGGAAGCCCCAGTGCCAGAACAGGAAGGGATGCAGAGGCCATCTAAAGTAGAGACAGCAAAGGGGTCCCTTAGGTCGACTCCAGTTGACTGGCAGAGGCTGGGAAGGACACTGAGGCCAAGGCCAAGTAAACAAGAAAGAAGACCAAACTCAACTAGTGATGTGCCTCCTGGACACAAAGTATTATCAAGGAGGAGCAGGCAAGCCACGGCCTGTGTACAACCCCTCATCCGGTCATTCTAGAAGCAAACCTAAAATGGGCCACGAGGGCTTTAACCCAGAGGGTCGAAATTTAGGAGACCCCAAAATTTAAAGAATAACTGTTTAACTGTGCAATTGAAAATGTTCGCAACATCTACGCATCCTGAGGAAACCAAGGGCTTAGCTCTGAGGTAGCAGAACTAATGAGCTAAAGTAGAGAGCGACCCCCTGGAGCTGCACCACGAACCACAGGGTCTGTTTGAGAGCTTCTTCCCCGCTGTCTGCTCTGGGATCCAAAATTGCTCAGAACCTGAACCTTCCAATTTCAGGCGAAGAAACTGATTCCCCAAGGAGCAAAGTGAATTGCTCACGGCTGGGAAGGAGGGACGGGCGAGGCGTGTGCCCAGGTCTGGGGAGGGGAGGGGAGGTGTGCCCCAGCCCGAGGCCCCGGGCCGCCCGCCGCCCCTGTCACCGGATCTCGTGTGCCAGCTCCACGCATTTCCAGTGCTCCACAGGCCTCTCGTTCAGCTGCAGCACCGTGTCCAGCTGCTGCAGCCCTGCCCGCTCTGCCGGGCCCCCTGCAGGGACAAAGAAAAGCCACTCAAGGGCTCCTGAAGCCCACAACCCCCTCAAAAGCCCCGGGGTCCTTTGCTTCCAGTGACCTTGGACAAGGACCGCTCCCCTCTGTTTCTTCACCTGTCAATGAGGGGCCAACCTCGGGGGCTCTCGGGGACCTTGAAGGGAGGCTCCCCTTTGCCCTCACTTCCTCCCTGCCCGCATACCCAGTACTGGCTGACCTCTCTCTGCTGTCCACCTCCCCACCAGGCCCCCCTCCCTGCCCAGGGCCTCCCACCCCTTAAGAACCCTTCCTTGCTGCCAGGCTCACAGGCAATGGGGGCACCCAGATCACCATGTCCCAGCTTCTCCACTTTGGATGCTCACTCTGTGACTAGAAGTCTTTTCTTTGTGAAAAATAGGGAGGGAATGACTATTTTTAAGTGCTAATCAGGCTGGAATAGGATAAAATACTGCTTCCAAATCGAGTTCATAAATGACTCTCATTTTCCCATGCAGCCATTACTGAAAATATAGGTTTAGTTCCTGTTTGAAATGATTGGGAAACAAAATATAAAAATCTATTTTCATTTTGATTAAAAACAAAAAAAAAAGAGTAGGTGTATTTTCATAGACCTCACTTTCATCTGTGGTCATTTAAAAATATTATTCTTCTCGTTTTGAAAAACCAGGACACTTTGCTCCAGTTTAGGGCTCCCCTTTCAGTTCCAACATCTTGTTTGCAAAGCCTCGGGCTGGCATCACCCGAGACACTCACTCACCGGAATCCACGGCCTGGACTCGGACCGGAGAGTCGCAGCAGATGGTGAAGCCGAAGCCGTCCTTCCCCCTCGGGATGGTAATCTAGGACACAGCCCTGCCCAGTTACTCCCAGAAGCCATGAGGCTGCTGCCTCTGCTCCAAGGTCGTGAAGAACACAGTCCCCACCCCAGAGCCACCTTCCTCTCCAAGGTTGCTGGAGCCAAGAAGGAGGCTGGCCGGCCCCTCGCTGTCCCTATCTTGGCCCAGGCATCTTGAGCACTGGGTTGTGGGCCAAGCAGGAAGGCTGAGAGCTCAGGAGGTAAGCCAGGCCCATGTGGAAGGGCCCAGACCGAGCCTTGGAAGGCTGAATCTCGCCTTCCTCAGCCCTGGCAGACACGTGGCCTAGCCCTTTACCCAAGGGCCCACTGCACTGCACGTCTCCGCCTCACCTGTGACCCACTGCCTGCTCGGTCCCTTCCTCCTTTCCCCAGGGGTTCATGGAGCATCGGCCCAAGGCTGGCCCCATGCTGAGGGCCCAGAGACAAAGCTGGCCTGTTGGCTGCCCTCCCAGAGCACAGGGGAGGGAAGACAGGGATGCACACACTCACCACCTCAGGCCAAGGGGCAGGGGACACGTGCTAGGGGTCTCAGGGCCGTCCACTGCCAGGGCCTCAAGGTATCAGTGAGGGCTCCCGGGTGAGGGGGCAAGTGAGGGCACAGATAGGCTTCCTGGCTGAACCTGAACTAGCCAATGACCTCACTGTGCCTGCTGCAGCCTGTGTGCGTGGCAGGTGCACAACCCCTACTTTCAGAAGTCCCCTGAAAGGGCCCTGCCATCTGGATGCTCTTTTCAAAGCAACATGCAATTATTGAGCTCCTACTGCATGCCAGGCTCTGGTGAGGTACCAGGTCATGAGGCCTTGGTCTCTGGCTCCCAGAGGAGCATAAGGGTACACTGATCTCTAGAAAGCAAAGCAGGTCATGTTAAGCATTACAGCAAAACGTGAGGATGGTGCTGGGAAGAGTCCTTTGTGCTTTGACTTTAGATGACAGGCCTGGAGCACGGCAGGAACCAGCAAATGCTCCACTAGTGAGGACAGTGCTGCAGCCTCCCACCAGCAGCGGAAAGCTGGCAGGGGGCGGCGTGGTCTGCTAGCTCAGTTCAGTTCTACCTTGCTGCATGCCCTCTCTGTGCACCCCCAGTTAGGCTTTGGGAGGGGTGCAGAAAGCCCAGCCCCTGCCCACTCAAAGAGCAATTCCAGGCTGCTCAGAGCAGGTGTATGAGAGCAACAGACTAAGGCAGCTGAAGTCAGAAAAGGGGTCTGGCACCCTGGATGTGGCGTGGGCCCCGGTGCAGCATGGGGTAGGGCACCCCAGGCAGGCTGAGGAAGAAGCCAGCTCAGCAGCGCTGAAAGAGGTCAAGGGCCACCGTCTCGTTAGGAGACTGCTGTCTCCTTCCTTTAGGGGTTACCTCTTCCAGGCTGGGTGCCCGGCATTCACCTGCCAGCTGTCCCAAAGGCCAGGCATGGGAAAGGGGAGGGCCGGGGAGCCCAGGGTGACCCAGGCCCTTGGATGCTGCTGGGGAGGCCCCTGAGGCTCTGCTTCCCACCAGCCCTGGGCCTGGATTCAAAGCGAGTTTGTAAAACAGGAAATCTGACAGACAAGGGGAAGGGGCGGGGGGAGCAGGAAAATACCCTGTTCCCATAAGAATTCTGGGAAAACACACAGCTAAGACAGGAAGAGAAAAAAAATGGAAAGAAAGAAAGAAAAACAAACTCTGGAGTGAGCGCGGAAAGCCCAGACTGAGGCCAAGGGACGATGACAGGAGCCCAGTCCACTCCATGCAACCAGCAGGGATTTTAGGGACCTCACAGCCCACCCTCAAACCAGGCAGAAGCTGGGATGCCAGCATTTTGCTAGCACTTCCCCAGTCCTACACCACCAAGAGCCACGGCCCCTCCTGCCTGGGGTGCAACTCTGGAAAACCAGTTCCAGCACCCAGGGCTAACAGTTTGGGGACTGGCCCCAAAGCTGAATCTGGAGAGAAGGAGGGTGCTCCAGAAAACTGCCTGTTCCCCGCATCCAGGTGGGACTGTGGACAGGAGACCCCTCTGCCTTCCTGGGCACCAGGCTAAGCAGAGCCAGTCCAGACAACAGTCCAGGCCAGCTGGGGGCTGGGAAGAGAGGAAAAGGAGACGGTGTTGGGAAGCAAGCCCCTCTCCTGCTCAGTGTGAGGGGGTGGGACTGCATAAAGGAAGCAGAATTATGCTCTGTCCATCGTGGCCACGACCACGTTGAGAGGACAATGTCCAAAGAACCTGATCATCACTGCAGCCCTGAGGGAATGCAGGGCTAGTTTCAGTATGCCCATTTTACAGAGAAGGAAACTGAGGCCTGAAGCAAGTAAGCTCTCAGCCCTCCTCTCTGACCTCAGGCCTCAGGGTCAAGAGGCAAGGGAAGCAGCCCTGCCCTATCTCTGGGATCTCAGCGACTCCTGGCAGAGGCCATCCTTCCTGGGGTGCTTCTTGCTCTTTCCTGTCCAGTGCAGGAACTGCTACTGCTCTCAGATCTCACCCATGCCAGCATCTCACTTCTGCCCTCCTGCCTGATTTCTGACCCTCTGTCATGCCTAGACTTCAATCCCAATCCCTAAGTGCCACAGTTATTGAACCCCCTGCACCAGGCACTTCATACATATTCCATTTACTTTCACAGCATCGTCACATTATCACCCTATTCCACTGACAGGAAGACTGAGGCTCAGGGAGGTAAACTGCCATGCACAAGAGTCAGACCTCAAGAAGGGCAGAGCTGGATGTGAGCCCGGGTCCGGCACAAAGCTGGTGCTCTCAACCCCGCACTACTTTCTAGCAGGGGATCCGTCTTGAACTTGAGTCCCAGAGCCCCAGGCCTGGACCGCACTCATGCCTGGTCCTACTGTGACTGCCAGAGTGTCCCGGTCCTCAGGCCTGTAGTTCCAAGTGACCGAGGACTTCTCGACCTCCCATCCAGTGCCCTCTGTGCCTCACCACCCCGCCATCCAGTTGCCAGTGTCACAGGGGCTGCTCTGCAGGCTCCAGGAGTGCGGGAGGGCCCTGAGAGCTGGGGACTGGAGAGAGAACACACGTGTCTCACTCACGGTGCAGGAGGCCCCTCTGAGCATCTCCCTGAGACCTAAGTCTGCCAGTTTGAAGGAGTTCAGGACCCAGATTCCAGGCTGGTCATTAAAACACAGGGGGACTTTTCTATACTTTTAAAATCAGAACCATTCCAGAGTCCCATCAGCTTGGACATTCCCAAAATCTGGACATCCCTTGCCTTCACCCTGTCTGACACCATGCCCTTTTTATAAGAAAAAAAAAATGTCCCTCACAGTTCCAGAAGAGTCTTGGGGGCTAAGGGATCATCACTCCCACTCTGCCCCACATCCTGAGACTGGAGGCTGAGGGCCAAGCCCTCTCCGTGAAGTTGGGCTCTGGAGCCAGAGGACTCCGGACCCACTTCAAGGCATCACAGCCACCTGGGAGGAAAATCATGTGTGCACACATATACGCAGACACATCCCACCTCGCTCACAAGCACACACCAACACACGCTAGAACACAATCACACCTACACAACACAGGACAGGCACTGCCGTCCCATCAGAAGTAGGGAAAGTTAGCAAAAAAACACAAATCCAGCTGCTCAGCAAACTAGCCACTTACAATCTCAGCCTTGGGATGCTCTTTTTAACCCACACTCCTCCCAAATAAAAATGACAGAAAATCAACTAGATAATCTCACCATGGACACCACCCAGTCAGTGGTTAGGATGGCGAAGAGCTGGCCTCGTCTGCCCCTAAAGAGGGGCGGCAGGTAAAGGCCACCTTGGGGCCAGTTCCTGCCTCTATCCTCCCCCCCAGATCACAATGAACCTGCAAGGGGCCAGGAGGAGGCAAGAAAGGCCTTGTGGGAAGACAAGTCCTGCTCGGTGAGCCCTCACCCCTGACCCCCAATGACACCCCATGAGCCCCCCAAGGGGCCAAGCACCCACCTGGCGGTAGCGGCGCTCCGAACACACCTTGCAGAGCCCATTGAAGCGGTTCATGGCTGCGGGTCCTGCCTCGACTGCCGCCCCATGAAAACCCGGCTCTCCCCCCCAGCAGTGGGAGCCCGCACTGCGCCCCGTCAGCCTGGCATGACCGCCCTGGGAAGCCCGCCCCGCAGAAGAATGGCAGGAAATCACCTCTCACCTCCCCAAGCCCTGTCTGTGCTGTGTGCCTCTGCACGATAAGCCCGAAGGCTTCCTGAAACCTCCGAATGACAAGGAAGAGGGAGAGTTTTATATTAAAATTCCTGTCAACTAGTTAGTATTCCCCGGCCCCGGCGGGGAGAGGGCGCCTTTGTTCTGGCTGCATTCCCCGCCATGGGCCACTTTGTGATTCCAGTGCTCTCACAAACACCCCTGGCTGGAGGAGAACCCAGGCAGAAAACACAGCCCACTCTGTGACAACGCCGCCCCCCCCTGCAAATCCCAGGGACAAATGCAGGGAACTAACTCAGCCTAAGAACCCAAGGATGCTTTGCACCCACAGACATCCCACGTCAAGACAGGGAAGACAAAACATCTGGAGTTTGCCTGCCACCCAGAAGCTACTTAAAAGTCAGTTTCCTCATCCATGTACGTGGGCTGCTTGAAGGATCTGATGACAGACCATAAAGTCAAGTTGGGAAGGGATTTCCAATCACTAGATAATCCAGCATCCTCTTTTTACTGGTGAAGAAGTGGGGGCCTTGAGCAGTTGAGATCACACAGCAGGGTGGGGTGGAGCTGGGACCAGAGCCCCAGTCTTGATTCCTGCCTTGTAGAGCAGTGCCTGGTGAGCCTAGAGCCCCTTCCACCAACCTCAGAGCCCCTGAGGAAAACTACCCAGCCGCTCACATCCTTCATGCCAGAGAGTGTCCCTTGGTCCAGCCCAGCTTTCGTTACTGTGACAGTGGTCAGGCCAGCCAGGTTTCTAAGCCTCCTTCCCTCCATGCACACGAAGAGGGAGTTGAACAGGTCACCTCTCGAGGTTCTCCCCCTGCCCTAACCAAGCCTCTGACGATCACCCACACCTTGCTGAGTCCTACGGACATCTCTGCGTGTGCAAGCCGAGGAAAATCAAACGCGCCTCAGAACAATGCCCCCAGAGGTCAGGGCCTGTGTGCAGAGCCCAGCACGAAGTAGGACTCTCCCAGGCCACCTAGAAACCTGCAGTGTTGATGTCCGGGCAATTCTCACAAATCCCCAGGGAGACTCCCTGGTCACTGTCCTCTCTGTGCTCGGCATGTACACAGAGAGGGAGAAAGGCCTTTGCAGCTCCCCCACTGAAGCTGGAAGAAAGCTTTTAAACTTGTAATGAAGCCACGGAAAACAGAGATCCAGCAAGTTACTCTAATACTGTACTATCCAATATGGTAATGATTAGACACAGGTGCAATTTAAATTTTAAAATAAAATTTGAAATTCAGGTCCTCGTTCATACTACCCACAATTTCGAATGCTCAGTAGCCACCGGTGGCTAGTGGCTGCCATCATGGGCAGTGCAGCCCCAGCCCGTACGCTCTGTGAGGGCAGGGATCTTTGACAGCTATATCCTGGCACCCGGCACAGGGCCTAGCCCATGTAGATGTTCAATAAATACTTAATGAATGAATGAGTGAATGACTTGAGTGAATGAAAGGGGAAATGTCTTGTAGCTAATAATACACCTAAGTGTCACATATTATCATGGAAAATATCACTGTCGTATTTTCCCAACTAGGCCACTTGCAGGAGACAGCCATACCTGAAGCCATATTTGCTGGCTGTGTGGCCACAGAGAGTGACCTAACATCTCTGAACCTTACAAGTCTCACTCATCTGTGAAATGGGTAGTAACAACCACCTCAGAGGTGGGAGTGAGGGTCATGTTAGATAACAACCGAGGGGCTATTCAGCACCGGGGGCTTGTTTCTCCCTCTCTTAGTGGTTAGAGAAAAGCAGAGATCACCTGCCATGGCCTGCAAAGGGACAAATTTGGATGAATTCCCCAAAATCCCTATAGGAAGGTTCCTCTCTAGCTTCAAAGCCCTAATGAAGTGAGGACCCATCGGTCTCGGGCTCAGACTCACAGCTGCTCCCTGATATCAAGGGGGCCGAACCTGAAGGGGAATTGGGCCACAGTGGCAGGGGAGGCAAGGGGCCTGAGGGGGCCTGCAGGAAAGGGAGGACTCGGCCTCAAGAGACCGAAAGTCAGTACAACCCAGACTCCTCTATTTCCAGGGGCCGGGGCCCGGCTCTCTCCCCACTCCTGCCCCAAGCTTGAGTAACCCGAGAAAAGCACCAGAAATAACCTCTTAAAAAATGCACAACTTGCTGAGTTTCCAACCACCAAGTGAATGAGTCTCAGTCACCGAATGCTCCCTGTTTAGGGGTCTCCTGGGCCAAGGGACTGACCAGAAGCAGGTTAGAGCCCAGAGCAGTGCTCAGGGCCCGTCAGTCCTGCCCAGGTTTTCCCCACCTACCTTGAGTTTCTCCCTGTTCTCGGTGTCCTCACCTCCCAACAGTCTCAACAAAGGGTCTGGAAGGTGACAGAGCAGAGTCAGAAAGTTTCTGCTGGCATCTAAGTGCCCGTTCCACAGACCACCCAGAGGATGAGGCCAGGGTGCCAGACCCATGTGGAGGACAAGGTCACTGCTGGCCCCCAGGATGTGGGAATGCCCAGGCTCAGGCCAGGCAGGGGCTCAGGAGACAGATGGGTGCGTGCGAAGGACAGAGCAGAAGGGGAAAATCCTCAGGACCCACAGCAGGGCCCACATGGCCTGTCTGCAGAGGTGGGCGCCCCAAGGTCAGCCAGGCAGCCCAGAGGGGATCCTGAGACCACAGACCCTGAGGAATGGCCACACGGGAAGGTCCAAAAGCCCAGCCCTCCATGAGCTAGATAAATAAAGGAGTCATGGGCATGAGGCTGCCTGCAGGCTGCATTCTAGCAAGCACTCGTGAGAAGGCCCTGGGCCCAGGGTCTGATGGCAGCCTAGGGTGACACATGCCACAAAACACAGGGACTGAGGCTACTACACAGTGGAGTGGGGGGAGCCCTGGGGGTCGGCATGTCTGGGCAGAACTGAAGGTGGTGGGCATGCACCTCTCAGGGGCCGCAGTCTCCGCCTGGCCACCTTCAGGTGCTTGGTCCGGCCCAGGTCCTCGCCCAGCAGGTAGTACCAGCCGCTGGTCTCCTGTCACAAGAGAAGGCGTGACATGCTCAGAGGAGGCAGAGGGCACAGGTCAGGCAGCCACCAATCCCCGTCAAAAAGCAGCAGCTGGACAGCCTCCTCAGGAGCAGCGTCTCTGCAGACACACACACTCCAGCCTCCCTTCCCCGAACCCTCCCTTCCCACCTCCAGGAAGCCCTCCTTGATGCTCCAGGCAGAGCTGATCCTCCCCTCTGCCGACTTCCCACGCCTCTTGTCCCTGGAGAACAAGTCTACTCACAGGCTTGCCTCCCCCACTAGGCTGTGCACAGGCTCCTTGATGTGCCTAGCACTGTGCCTGGTACACAGCAGGAGCCCAATAAATGTTGACAGAACAGAAGGGAGGGAGGGAGGGAAGGAGGGAGAGGCCAGAAAGCAGGCATCCTGAGGCCCCTGAGCAGTCCCCAGGGACAGACATCTTCTCCCAAGAGGGAATAAGGCCAGGACTGCAGTCAAGACAAGATAGTTGGGACCCGCATGTAGGATAAAGGGTCCTCAGCCACCTACCCCAGACTTCACTTCCAGGACACAGAGCTGGGTGGCAGGGCCACCTGGCAACTCCTTGCAGCAGGCCACCAGAACATCTCCAGGGATATGCAAGAGGCGCACATCCCTCCCCTGCTCAAAAGCCTCCAATGCGGGGAGTGCCATCCAAGTAGAGCTGCGTAAGGGTCTGGCCACCCAGACGGAGGGGCCTCTAGGTCCCAGAGTCCTCACCCAGCCTGAAGAAAAGCTCCACAGAGGATGCTCACTCCATCCCTGAGCACCTGCTAGGCCCAGAAACCTGCGACCTGGCAAACAACGTCAAGGCAACCCCTGGAACAGACCACGAGAAGCACCCGTCCCTCATCCTCCAGGGCAGGGAGTGCTCTGAGCTCTGAGGGACCTGCCTGTGTCCTTAAGGGAAGACACCAGACCTAGAGCCTTCTGGGAAGACTTGGAGCCGCCTAACAACTCGTCTCTGACAAGAATGAGCCAAGGCAGGAACCCAGACCCTTGGTCACACCAGTAACAGTGTTGTTATCAGGCCAGGGGGCACCTGTCTCAGTGGGGCACCATCTCACAGACTGAAGCCCCGCCGCAGGGCTTCCAGACAAAGGCCTCTGCCTGTACCAGCCCTGGCCTAGGTGGCCTGACCCTGCCAGAAGCTTCCCTAGGACCCACCTTGTCCGGAGTCAGGAGGGACTTCACCCCGAAGCTCATGCAGCCCATGAGTCCACTCTGTCTGGGAGAACAAGAGAAGCTCGAGTGAGCACCTTTTCATTGCACTACATCGGGAGGTCGACTGTCAAGTGTAACACAGGTTTGCCTGATGCACTGTGGTTTACGAAGCACTTTTACCTGCATTGTCTCATTTGATCTTTCCAACTTTGTGAGTGAGGCTGGAGTTATTCTCTCCACTTCACAGAGGAAAAAACTGAGGCTGAGTTGATCCCCTTGCCAAGGTCACAGGACTCATTAGTAGTAGAGTCCCATGGGAAGCCAACCACAGAAGCTCAGAGTTACCTCGGAGGTTTGAACTGTGCTGGTGCTGGTAGGTCTGAAGAGCCAGTCCCCAAAGGGAATTTCAGCTCCCACGTCTGCTGGTGATGCTCAATCCAGGAGAAAAGTTATGGGACCTCAAGCTCAAGAAGCTTTGTCTTAGGTCCAGGCAAGACCTGGGCAGTGCTTGGACAGTTCCAGGTCAAGGTCCAAACCAACCTGACACACAAAAGTTGCCAAGACCACCCTGACCTGGCTGCCAGTGGGCCAGTACACATGAGCCAGGGTCAGGACTCATGGAAATGTCACGTTGTGCAGACAGGCTGAGTTCATTTGGGTCCTACTTCACTAAGGGTAATTCAAAGCTCCTGAAGCATGTCCATCATTGAGTTCCAATGTGCAACACTGAGGGACTGATTGATACTTGGCAGCTTTCAACAGTGATAGCATAGATTAATATTAATGAAATGCCAAAAATAATATTGCTATTATGAGATAAAAGCAAGTTTACAAAGTTTAATGAGAAAGATGTCCACCAAAATATTAACAATGGGTGTATCTGGCAGGTAGGAATAGAAAGGTTTTTCTTTTCTCCTTTGGGTTTTTAGTGTTTTTAAATTTTCACTGGGAACAAGCGCTACTTTTGAAATCAGAAAAAAAAAAAGTAGTATAAATGTATTTGAAAGTACTTCTATTCTACCACATCTTTCTCTACCCTAACACTAGAGTTGCTTTTTTTTTTTTTTTTTTTTCCCTACCTCTTCTCTCTTAGCATATCGCCAACTCAGGCCTCTTCAGAGATTGGTTTAATAGCTATTAATCAAGAAACAACATGGGTATTAAGACTGGAGCAGAACCCTGATGGTTGACTTCAATATGTGAGGGACCCACACAGACGAGGGATTCAGCATGTTCTGGGGAAGGCACCATATCAAAGCCAAGGATGTAATGAGCTGCCTAGATGGGTAGTGAACTAACTCCCTGGAGATGTGCCTCCTCGGAGCCTGGTCTAAGGGGGCCTGAACAAGTCCACAGAACACCCTGAAGAGCCTGTCCAAGTCCTGTGCCCCAGAGCCTGCTCCTGAGATCCAGACCCAGTATGTCCAAGGTGGGGTCTGCGCATGGGAGTCTGGAGTAAGCTATCCAGGGGATCCTACAGGGCACCCACCCGTGCCTGCCCCAGTCGAGGACCGGTAGTGTACAACAACTTTATAAATACATTTTGTTTGGATTCTCCAGGAAGGGTGGCAGCCTACCACCTGACAGTCCTAAGCAAAACAAAACTGGCTTCTTGCCGGGAGCCAAGCCGATTGAGGGCCAGGGATGCAGAATGCTGGGGATGGATTCTCAAAGCTGGTGCCCCTCCCCCACAGATGCACACTCTACACCAGGCCATGTCTCCCCAGCTACTCTCACTCTGCTACCACCCCCCACCCCGGCTCTCTCTTCCTGCCCTCGCCCTCCTGCAGCCCGGGCTGCACCTGCTCTCTTCTCCTTCCTTGCCCCCTCCCATCATACCAGGCCATATTAACCATCTACCGATAGAGAACAGTGTAGTCACTCCATGAAAGTGACCCTTCCACATCCACCTGCCCACCCAGCAACAAAACAAATACTCCTCCCTCCTGGAAAGTGGCCAAGTCAGCACTAATGGAGGGGCAGCTGCAGTGACCAACATGAGTGGCAGACACTGACCTGAGCTGACATCCCAGAAAAGCCTTGTCAAGACTTTGCCAAAGTCCTCATCACTGATTTAATTTTGTGTGTCAACACATTCAAAAGCAACCCAGCTGGTATCTAGGTGCCCACACTGCCTTGCTGTACACTTTTCTTTCACACTGAGTATGGCTGTAACTTTCTAAATCTTCAGGCAGGATGCTTTAGCTGTAATAAAGGCTGCCTCTCCCTGCTCTTCAGTAAGTGGAAATTTCACCCCCTGGTGCTTAAAGAATACTAAATGGTTAATAGCCTCCCGTGAGCTTTGCTTCCTGCTAAGGGGCCTCCAATGATTTCATGATAATTTAGGCCAAGCAAATGGTCACAGTTAATGTCCATAAGCAGGAACCTCTAAGTGTTCTTCAATTAGCTACTTCTGAAGGCTGTTTTTGAAAACCTTTGGAAGAAGAAAGACTTTTTCTACATGCAGCCTAAGTACACGGTAATACACTGGTCAGGTAATAAACTTGGGACACCGCCTGAAATTTCTCTAGGCACAAAGTCTCAGGGGCCAAGCCTTGGGTACTTCTGAATGCCAAACCCTAAGCTCAGTGAAGCCTTGACAAACGGATGAACCCATCATGCCCACGCTGGCAGGCACTGGGCAAGGAGCTGCAGCATTAAGGAAACAAGACAAACATTCAGGAATTTAAATACCAGTTCAAGACAGCAATACAAGGGATGTCACTAGACAGAGTGAGACTGAGAGATGAACAGTACAGGCAACAAATGCTGAAAGCTTAGAGAGGCAAGAGGTAGTTTAGGACTGAGATGCTCAAAGAAGGCCTAAAGAGTTAAGCCAAAGAGAAGGAAAGGAAGAGCATTTCAGGCAAAGGCAACAGCTGGTACAAAGGCTCAGAGGTAAGGCTTCATGCAACATTCAAGGGCAATAGTACAGCCAGCCCTCCGTATGAAAGGATGCGGAACCCATGGATACGGAGGGCCGACTATACTATACCACTTTATATAAAGGGACTTGAGCATCCATGGATTTTGGTATCCACGGGGGTCCTGGAACAAATCCCCCATGGACACAGAGGGATGGCTGTACTTGGCTCAG